AGTAGCGTCCTTTGCTCCTAGTAGTAAGGCCAGGAGCCCCTAGTAGCATCCTTTGCTCCTAGTAGTAAGGCCAGGAGCCCCTAGTAGCGTCCTTTGCTCCTAGTAGTAAGGCCAGGAGCCCCTAGTAGCGTCCTTTGCTCCTAGTAGTAAGGCCAGGAGCCCCTAGTAGCGTTCTTGTTTCTAGTAGCATCTCCGTCCTCCAAGCCATGAAGATGTGCTGCCACTGAAGTGACCATCTGCCGCCGCTGTTGCCAAGGATCGGCTGCAGGCGGCATGGCCACGAGGCTTCGGCGGGGTGCCTCTGCAGCCAAAAAAGAGTCTTTTCCAAAAAAAATATATAAATAGTGTTCTCTTTTTTGAGAGGGGGATAGGCCGAAAAGGTAGCTAGGTAGCTAGTAGAAGAGAGGTAGCTAGTAGTTACTTAAGCTACTACATATAGACGCAGGATAGCTGGCGCCCGCACTATTCTTGTGGTTCCTAGATTTTTTGGTAGACTCAGCGGTGGCATCAAACAAAGCGTTTCTGTTCATGGCGAAAGCATAAGCGTGGACGGAACATAAACACTGCCTTGTTGCAGGTCCAAGGCTTCCGCTTCTTACAAAACGTTCTGATGGAGGCCATCGCTGTTAGGTTGGAAGCCATCGCCATATTCTCAAGTGCCAAATTGAAGTGGGCACAAAATAGAATGGACACACCTTGGACACAAAGCTGACCAGAAGCAGCCCGATGAGAAAATGAGTTGGCTTCAATGTGTGTTCGGTGGACATCACTGTCCCGTAAGTAGAAAACAGTTTGTGTTTTGCTCTAATTAGTAGTAACAAGCTCCTGGCCTTACTAGGAACAAGAAGCTACTAGGGGCTCCTGGCATCGCTACGAACGGAGCAAGGATGCTACTAGGAGCAATGTGTTCGTTCGCATATGCATGTGTCTGCTCTTTTCTCCCTTCGCCTCGTGCAGTTGATGAAGATCTCGCGCATCCAGGATCAACTGCACCATGAGACGTTTCTTAGGCGCCCAGTTGGGCCACCGGGCACGAAGCACACCACCTAGGAGCAAGGACGCTACTAGGGGCTCCTGGCATCGCTACTAGGAACAAGGACGCCACTAGGAGCAAAGGGCATCGCTACTAGGAACCTGGGCATCGCTAGCTAGAAGCTGCTAGTAGCGTAGATATTCGTTACTAGCGTCCTCAGCAGAATGTCAAGATCGATGGATGGAGAAAGGCCTGCTCCAAACGAAACACTCCTAGGCAGGCTCCTTGAAAACACTTCTAGAGGCTCATAGGTTGGAGGCCATCGCTATTAGGATGGAGGCTCTTAGGTCCCGAATCTTAGGAACGCTGCTTGCAAGAATGCTTCTGAAAGGCCTTAGATCTGCATACCTTTCAGAAGCGCTAGTTGGACAACAGTGGACCAAATTACTCCAATTGCAGTCTTACAGTCTAAAGTGGCTTCTGCTAAAAGAGTGTTGCAGGGTTAGGGCAGCCCCCAAGATGCTCCTTGCAAGAAAGCTTTTTGTTAAGCGATCTTGCATGTTGTCGTACAATGGATTCAAACAGGTCCCTTTATGCGCAACTGCGGGTTTAAGTCACATACAGTACCTACAGTTTAACATGATGCTGCTGGACATGATGAAATGCTTTAGGAAACTTAGTTGGCTGACAAACATGCTCAGTGGCTGCAGTCAAACAAAAGTTGAAACAGTTCCAAACAGTCTAAATGGTCAAGTCTACAAGATCTCTTTCAAACTTCATGCCCCTAAGGCTCCGAACAATCTTACATCCATTTACTATTTATAGAGGTGTATCGAAGTCACATTAGGTCTTGGGATGCCGTCGTTTTTTTCCAACTCTTTAATCAACGACTCCTTTCCGTGCCCTTATTTCCAAACAACTACATGGCTCACATTTCTGAGTCCCAACCTACTAGCTATGGCCTCCAACCTACTAGCAAAAGGATAATAGGATGGCCTCCACCCTAGTAGCGATGGCCTCCAACTGGAAGCTTTTTCGGACAACTCCATCTGTTTACTTTCTGAGTCCCCTGCAAACAACGACCAAATCGCCGGGCACGCAAGAGGACACCAACTCTCCACACAGCACAACTTGGGCATGAGAGCCTCGGAATCAGAGTATGCTGGGTGATTCGAATATTGCCACGGCAACTCCCAACTTGCGACAACTGGAAGCTTTTGAAACCAACCAAGTATGACAGGCAGATTCTTGGCTCAAAGCACTGACAAGCTAACGTCAGCCTCTGTTTCGAGATCACAGCCGTCAAGTTGCTATCTATCTATCTATCTATCTATATCTATCTACCTATAGTTATACCAGTATGGGCAATTTACGGTGCGAAAAAGATCCGAAGAAATCCCAAGCATTGTCCACTGGACACGTTGCAAGATGGGCAAAAACTGTTCAGCATACATGTGCCATGCGAATGCATGCGAATGCTGAGGTTCAAACAATTCTGAAGACCAGTGTCCTGCAATCGAATCTCCTGGTAGTCAATCATTGCACCTGCCAAGCTCCATTGTCAGAACTTCACAGCAAAAACAGTTTGAAGAATCTCAAAGAACCAACCAAAAGGGATGCTGTGTTCTTTGGCTGCTTGCATTGGCTTGCATGAGTGACCAAGAAAGATTCGAACAAACAGGATGGAGACCATTGCTAGTAGGTTGGAGGCCATCGCTATTAGCCATGTGCAGCACCTCCAAGGTCTTTGAAAGAGTCACCACCGCAACCTGAGGAACTGAAGGCATCCACTGACACTTGGAAAGCCAGCACCAGACAACCATGTTTCTCTATTTTCCTTGATTTCCTTTTTTGGCCGGCCTCCTACTTAATTGGAAGTAAGCTTGTAGCTGCTTAAGCTTCTAGTAACAGGACGCAGGACGGCTCACGCTCGCACTATATTATATAATACTATATAATGATTTGGCTCCTAGGTTTGCGGCTTTGTGTTTTGCGTCCACCATCTACCCCATGTTCTGAGACATCTGCGGTTGAACGTGTTCTTGTCTCTCACTGTTTCAATCGCTTTCTTGCTTCTGCGGAAGTGAAAATGGTCTAAAGAATATGAGTTAGGACGAATTAGAAGCAAACAAAAAGAGTCGAAAGGTTTAAAGAAGAAAGAAAATGAAAAGAACATGGAAACTCATTCTCTGCTTCTGTGTATGCTTGTGTATGTACCTGTATAGTCCTCGACAACATTCAGTGATTCCTGGGAACCGCTTGACGGTATAATCAAGTCAACCATTGGGGTTCACGACTTCTTCACGACCCCATCTTTGGCGACACTAGGTTGGAGGCCATCGCTTTTGGAATAAAGGAGACAAGAAAAGAAAGAAAGGTCTAGAGTCTAATCTAGTTTGCTATTGGGTCGGAGGCCTACTTAATTGAGTAAGGGAGAAGTACGCTACTAGCGGAAGCTACTACATATGGACGCAGGATAGGTTACGCTTCCTTGAAGAATACTAGTAGTACGGCCAGGAGCCCCTAGTAGCGTCTTTGCTCCTAGGAGCGATGCCAGGAGCCCCTAGTAGCTTGGAGTACAGGTCAGGCCCCTTTTTACTTTATCTGTAATTATCGTGTTTGTCCTTTTTGTTCTCCCTCGGTCTCCTGTTCCTGTCATGTTCTGTTGCGAATGGTGCTAGTGGTCGGTTGAAGGATTCGCCAGCGGCTTGCGGGCTTCTCTCCGTTTGCCGTCCATGACCTGGGCTGGTCCTTTTACTTCCTTTTTTGGATTCTTGGTACCCGGTGCGGCAAACAACAGCCAGTCCCTTCCCCGTCATCTGTGGGAAATGTTAGCTGCAAAAACATCCTCTCAACAAACGCCAAGTCCACTGCATGCAACACTTCTTCAAGTGTGGGGGCGTCTTTTCGAAAACTGTAAGAGGATCATGAAATGAACTATACCTTTCGTATCCTTTCGTTTCATTGAAAGAATGGAGGTCTTCGAAGAAACAGGGGCCTCCGCAGCATCCCGCTTCAGGCGGTCGAACTTCGGCCACCGGAGCTTCCACCACTTTCCTGCAGCAAGGCCAAGGTGTTACTAGTAGCGATGCACTTTGTAAGCTACTAATTTTAGTTCTAATGGCTTCTTGTTACTACTAGCGATGCACTTGTTACTACTAGCGATGCCCTTGCTTTACTAGTAGCGATGCCCTTGCTTTACTAGTAGCTTCTTGCTTGTAGTAGTAAGGCCAGGAGCCCCTAGTAGCGATTAGTAGCGTTCTTGCTCCTAGTAGCGATGCCCTTTGCCAGAAGAAAACCCAAGTAGCAACACTAAGAACCAACTTCTGCAACTTGTGGGCCATCCTCTTGTCCTTCGCCTTTGGCTGTTTTTAAAGATTGCATGTGTGGCGACGCGTTGGTTTGGTTTCTAGTCTAAAAGCCAACAAACACTCCACCCGAAGAAAGGCACGGGGCCAGCGTTCCTAGAGTACCTCCTCGTTTTGAGTCTCACCAGGGCCGTTTTGCCAGCATTTGAGACTTCTGAAAAAGAACGGGATGAACTTCTCGCATGAATGGACGCTACTAGGTGGAGGCCATCGCTATTAGGTCATTAGGTTGGCGGCCATCGCTCCTAGGAGCAAGGACGCTACTAGCCAGCTGAAAGCTGCCAATCCAAGGACTTTGCTTCTCGTGGTCCGTGACCGCAAGACGCAAACTCGCAAGAAGCAAAACGGGAGGGCCACTTCCGTCATCTAGGAACAAGAAGCTACTGGGAGCAATAGGCATCGCTATTAGGAACAAGGACGCTTCTAGGGGCTTGTGTCAGCCATGGAGGTTGAACAGCTGTTCTATTCTCGCAGGCTCTCAGCGCAACAATAAGTAGGTTGGAGGCCATCGCTTCTAGGTTGGAAGCTATCTGGAGCTACAAATGGCCTTATCAATTTTTGTGCAGTGCAGCTTGCAGCAGCGTGTGCCACTGCGGCATGTTGGTCAGTTCAAGCTTTGAGCAACAACCAACACAGGTGGAACAGTGTCTGCACCGAGATCCAGTGGTTTGAGGCAAACTTGCAAATTCAACTCAGTTCTCCTCACGATCTCCGCAGGCCAGATCGTCCATGTCTTCACTGAAGAGTCTTAGTCGTGAGGACCCAACACCACCATCGTCCTAAAGGGTCTGAACGCTTACCAGTACCGATACCAATACCACCACTACTCCTACTCCTGCTCCACTGTGTTTGGCAATTTCTCGGACCGTTGGACCCACTCCTGGCACCACAGCTGCACTCGAAGCTTCGCGTGAACTCGGCAACCTTCACGGAGCTCATGCTGGCCTTGATGCTCCGAGAATCGCCCGACCAATCGCCCGAGACGGTAGAAATCGTCCAGCGAAAAGTGTCAAGAATTTGGATGCCTTTTTAGTGGCCGTTTGTTAAATAGTAACAAGAAGCTAGTAGGAACAAGTGCATCGCTTCTAGTAACAAGTGCCTTACTAGTAGTAACAAGAAGCTGCAAAGGGCATCGTTACTAGTAACAAGAAGCTACTAGTAGTGGTGTGATTGTTTTGTGCTTGCTTTCGGTGTGCCATTCGATCAGATCCGCACTACCAGGCCGGAGAACGTCAAGAAACAACCCACCAAGTCATGACGTAGCTCCTGCAAGACAAACAACTTCATTTTTTGCCGACCTTCTACTTAACTGAGTAGGCGCCTACTTAATTGAGTGACTAGTAAGCTTCTAGGCTAAGCCAAGCTACTACCTACTGGACGCAGGATAGCTCACGCACTAGTTCCTAGATTTTCTGGGTTGGTTGCACTTGTTTGGGTTTGAATGCTTCACAACGGTGACTACTTGCCAAGTGTGCATGTGGACTTGGAAGAATGGCTCAAATGCTCTCTGATGGTTGCATCGTTACAATGAGTACGAGAGGGAGTGTCAGACTGTCAGAAGTGCCTTCATGTGATGCACGGCATGTAGCAAGAAGCTTGGGATGTGTCGGAAACGCAGCCGCGGCCTGGCGCACGTTGCTGGACTCTTCTCTGCAACCGTTTGCAGAGCAAGAGGCAGTTCAGTCCAAGGAAGCGATCGTCTTGTCTTGCGAGTGTTCTCTCGGGAAATAGTGAATGGATGTGAGTAGCAAAGCTTGCTTTTGTGACCTCCATGTCCTTTTGTGCAGTCTAGGAATGTCACTCATGTCTCATTCTTCTCCATGATTTGCTCTATTACAGTTGTCCCTCAGAAGATGTACAAGGACGCTGCTAGGGGCTCCTGGCATCGCTACTAGGAGCAAGGACGCTACTAGGGGCTCCTGGCCTTACTACTAGGAGCAAGAAGCATCAAGAAGCTACCAGTAACAAGGACGCTTTACGCTTGGGCCTGGACCGACCAAGTTGTTGGGCCAAGATGCTCTCGAGGCGGCTGATGTTTGCATCAAAGTCCTGGCGATGAGTCGGCAACCACTGCCGACCACTGGTCTACACAGTTCTTATTGGCGATGGCCTCCAATCTAAGGACGATGGCCTCCAGATGTGCTTTTAATTGTAGCATCCAACACCTTTTTGTGACATCCTGATGCTCCAAAGTCAGTGTGGCTGAAAATCAGAGCGACGACCATTTCTCGCAACTTAGCAAGTGCCTGGCCCAGTGCCTGGCCACTCTTTTGGCCGCACAGGGCAAGCTCTTTTCTGTTCTCAGGCTCTTTCGGGGTTGCACCAGTTCGGCAAAGGAGATGGTCAAGTTGAAAAGTGCCAAGGAATGACACAACCACAGTCACCACAGGTTGAGCCTTCTCCATTACAGCTTTTGGTGACTTCTATGTACAGCTCCGCTAGTGCCTAGAAATTGCTTCGACTCATGGCAGCCTGCAGTTTGCCCTGAAGTTCCAGGAACGTGGCCTGATGGGGAAAATTGCAAGAGTTCCACAACAAAATTCATCTGCAAACACAAAGAAAGAATCCACACTTAGGCCTCCATTGCTAGTACAGAACAGGAGGGAATTTCATCGAGTCCAGTCTTACAAGTAACAAAGGACGCTACTAGTAACAAAGAGCATCGCTACTAGGAGCAAGGAAGCTACTAGTAGCTCCTGGCCGTACTACTAGTAACAAGAAGCTACTAGGAACAAAGGGCATCGCTACTAGTAACAAAGGACATTAGTACAAGAAGTAACAACAGGTGCCTCCAGCTGTACTCTCTCTGTTTCCAAAGTTGCATCTGGCCCTGGAAATCGCGGTGGGCTTTGCGGCATGGAAGTGTAGGGTTTGTAAGGCGTATTGTGAATGTGATCAATCTCAAGCAGAAACCGACCAAGGCCAACAACCTAATAGCAAACTATATTACACCTTCCCTTCGGATTCCCTTCTGTTCTTTTCTTTTCTCTTTGTTTCTAACAGGAGACACCTCCACCCTAGCAATGGCCTCCAACCTAATAGCGATGGCCTCCAACCTAGGAGCGATGGCCTCCAACCCAATAGCAATGGTATCGTATCTCCTCCATGTTTGACTTCCCAATCGCAAAGCTTATGATACAGACCTTTCAACAACCGTCTCCAATTATCCTGAGGAAGTCGATGTGTCTTCTATGCAGCATTCTGTGGTGGCTGTGGTGGCTAAAAGGTACAGGCTATAGGCTATAGGTGAAAAGAACTATCCTCTCTGCCGCCTGTGCAGTGTTTGTACCAGCTCTACATCTCTCCTCAATGACTCAATGCCCAACAAGTTAGAGACCTTCCGCATCTGTCTTTGGTGTCCCCGGCCCTTCCATCAAGCTGCCTTCCGTATCTGTCTCCACCACAGTCAGGTCCGTTTCCTCCGGCAGCGAGGCCTGCGTAGGTTCTAAAGAAAGAAGTAAAAAAATCAATTTGACCTCGGGCATCACTACTAGGAGCAAGGACGCTACTAGGAACAAAGGGCATCGCTACTAGGAGCAAAGACGCTACTAGGAGCTCCTGGCCTTACTACTAGGAGCAAAAAGCTACTAGGAGCAAATACGCTACCCCTCCCTGCCCTTCGTGGTCTTCTCGCCTCGGCCTCTTCCGGTGGATCTTCCTGGAACGTCTGGCCAGAGACCTCCGCATCCAGGCGGCGTTTGTAGAACCGTGCGGCTTTGGAAGCATAGCCTGAGACTGAAGAGAGTGAAGCGAAGCAGCAAAGCAATGCCTCCAACCTAACAGCGATGGCCTCCACCCTAGTGGCGAAGCGATGCTACAATGAAGATGGTCCGGTTGCATTAGATGGCCCCTACGGAGCCCTCTTGAGACAGGTGGAGCCTAGTAGGTCGTAGTAGCACCCAAGGCACTCCTTTGAGCATCATACAAAGAAGGCACTCGTTGTGCTACTGGTGATAGTGAGGGTTAGAGAGGTACCTAAGGATAAGAAAGCACACCGAAATCACGCACAGTCTGTGCCTAGAGGAAGTCTTCGGAGCCTAGAGGAAGTCGTCCTGTGAAGCGTCTCAGACCCGGACGGTTGCGCCCCTTGAGTCGAGGATAGTGGGAGAAGAACTTCAGGAAGCGTTCTGTGCCACCCACTTCCTGAGAGGATCGGCCCACAACCCCAAAACACTTCATAAGGTGCAAAAAGATTGAAGATGGGAAATGAAGGCAACGAAGTCTTCCTGCTGAAGGTTTCAACTGCTTCCAGATTCAAAATGAAAGAACTGTCACGAAATGTCATGAACAATTCTCACACGCGCATGCCGCATGCCTGTGTCTGTGTGGGGCAAGGTACCATCGTGCGCAACTGTGTTGGAGTCCAGCGGTCCATGGCCACGGAGCGGACGAAACTCAAGTGAACGCCGAAGCCCCGGTGCTGCCCTGCACACTCCACGCACAAGTAGATCCCGTAAGACACTGAAGCCCACTCGGCGTGCTGTGAGTTGCAATCAGCACACGTGCGATCTTTCTCCGGTATTTTCGAGAAGAAATCTTCTGCGTCCTTAGCTCTCAAAGAACCACTTCATTCCCATGTGAATTTGCTAGTTGAGAATACCAGGGCCCCACAATGACCGCTTGCGTTAATATGCTGGCGCAGGCAACTCATGCGCATCTAGCCAATGAGGGTGCCTCCTCAAAGAGGCAGGTTCAAGATGTAGTTTTTTGTCACTCCCAACAGATACCCTTGCAGTGGTTCTTCACATTGTGGGGGTTACACTTTGCCAGTTGTATGCAGGTTCCGTCTTTTGCCCGGGGAAGAAAACTGCAGTCTCCACGATAAACTTTTGTTTTTCTGGTACCTAACCGAACCGCTTCATCTGAGAATACAATCATTTCACATAGTACGTCGGACACCAAAAAGAAAACTACACCAGCAAATACCGCAGGCAGCAAAGGATATTCGTGGGCAGCACCCGAGCATTTGATTTGCCGGCCACGACACCTACTGCACCATCAACCGAACTTCACAGCACACACTGCCGTGAACATCTGGCAACAACAGCCTGCAGCACCAGCACCAACACCCAAGCCCCGAAGTGCACACGGCCATAGACACCTGGCAGGCACACTGGAGCGGCACCCACCGGCACCAGCGCACCTCCAAAGTGCACACAAATCAAATGATCCTCCAGGGAACCTCCAGGCGCACGTGCGCAAATACTTCAATAGCGCCCGGATAGCCTTCAGAGGGGTGGCTCTGAACTTCTTTGGCCTTCGGGCCATGACTTGGCCGAGGCGCATTCGCTTTGACGAGTTCAACTCCCACCGCCCGGACAAGGTGGCCACACCGCCATTAACTCAGGAAGTGGCTGGACTCAACCATGAGGCTGCCCAGATGCCACTTAAAAACGATCCTGAGGACCTTGACTTGAAAGCGGGCAATGAGAGTTGGCTTGAGCCGCATTTCTCACACCTGGCATCATCAGACTTCCTTGGAGTTGAAGCAGTTCGCTAAGGATACATATGGTCCGGTGCGTTCACGGTGTCTCGGCCCGAAACTTAGAGGGGCCCCTTTTGCGCCACTTGACGTGAGCCACAGGCCACAGCGCTCGAGGAAGGCCCCACTTGGAAAAGATGTTCAGCGCACCTTCGTTCGTACTTCGTGTTTGTGTCCTCCGGTTACCACCACCTTTGGTTTGAGCTCCAACACGCTATTCCACCGCAGCAGCGCCCGCTGCAGATTGCCGCCCAAAAATTTGTTGATGCTGTACTTGGCGCAATTTGTCCAATCTTCGCTGCCCAAAAAAATTCACAGCAATTTGCACAAGTGTTCCTTCCAACCTTTGTTGCAGCAATTTTGAAGTAGTTGGCCAACCTTTGTCAAGGCTGAAATCAAAACCAAGAAATCGATTCGTTGACCGCCATCCCCCGTTGGGACGTGTTCGACCCCGCTCCGCGCGTTGTTTTTGCGATCTGGCGACTCAGTGCGCTTGATGCGCCCTGCTCTTGCTTTGCTTTCCACCACGAGTGTTCAAAACCTTGTGCTTGGGAGCTCAAAAAATTCCCAAGCGCAAGCGCCCTGCTTGCAAACGTCTTTCGGCCCAGGTCTTCATGGCAGGTGGTACAGGAACCCAGGATTGCAGGACAGACCAACCACATCGGCGGCGCCCAGCTGCACGCTGCACCACCCAACATGGCCAAACCTGAAGCGCACGCGGCCGACATCTTGTAGCAGCACCCTGGCGTGCATATCCGGCGACACCCAGGCCCCACAGCGCACACGGGCACCTCTTCTTATACTTGAAGCAAGAACCCCAAAGCTCTTGCTATTTGGGGACAAGGAAAAGGTCTTGAGAAAGTGGTGCCAGCATAGAACAGTTTCAGCATTCTTTTGGGTGCATAAATATTTGTGGTAACGTCTGGAATTATATTCCTATAGCCTCTGGCTGTTTGGGAACGGCATGTACTGTAAATAAAAAATGAAAACTGCATGTACAAGAAAGTGTTTGAAAACAACACTTACAGTGATAATAATTCCTGAATCCCCCGCGTCACGTACGCATGAGAAAATCCGAGGATGGTATCAAAACTTTAAAACACTGCATCACTGCTGCGTTCATACCCGGGCAAGGTGGTGGAGAAAGGGAAAGCACGGCGGTGATAAAAGGGTATTCAACAACCTGGACAAGCAGGCAAGCAGACCCAGACAAAGCCGGGACAAGGACAACGTACACTCCCACAGCAACGAGGGCTGGACAAGCCCCGGAAAGCCTACGGCCTGGGCAATAAGCCAGCCCGCAAGAAAACAAAGAAGGACAGATCAGGAGCATGGACGCACAGATCCGGACATGCCCAGACAAGGCCTGGCATAGAACGACGCAGCCTCGGAGAAGGGAGGGGCCAACAGCGCCGTTTTTCCCCTAAGAAAGAACCCCAACAGTAAACAGTAAACAGTTTGGGTAAAAAAGACAGCAAAAATATAAGGTCTAAAGGAAGCAAGAAAAACAGGTCTGAAGGAAAACATGGTCTCCAAAAGAGAGAAAGAAGTTGAAGCAAAAGCAAAT